TACAACAGAAGCACGGGTGGCAAAATTACCTCCCACGCAGCAAATGCACCAAGACACAGACCAGGCACACACCACAAGAAGAACAGTCCCTGCAGTTCTTTCTAAGTCGTAAGTTAACATCATAATCAATACTTCAGGAATAATAGGGAGGGGGGAAAAGCCAATTAAAAAACCGGAGTAGCTTTAATTATGCTGAAGATGTACACAGAAAGACATTCATTGCTTAAATTGCCCGTTTCATTTAAGGTCATTATACATTTTTGCAAAATTGAATAATTAGCAAGGAAGTCAACTGCCTTCTCCTGGTACAGGCCAAACGAGACACTTCACAGATGCAAGCTTCATTTCCAATGCAGCAAAAATGACTCCCTATGACAAGCACTAGTAACACTAAAGCACACGTAAGTGTTGATCTGCAGCAGGACTAGCAGAGTGGATGTTTCATTTAGTAAAAGTCATACTGAAGTCTTCGGTTACACTTATCTTTAAGGCAGTGTGGAAAAAGCATTTTATCCAACCACCTCTGGGGGAAAAGAAATAAAAATCAATTTGTTTTATACCTGAATGTCTTCATGAAATTATAATCAGAAAATCTTTGAGTATAAACTTGAAGCAAGAAAGCACATGAATTGGTTCACAAGCTGTACACACAGTCCAAGCAGCATATGAAGCTTCAAGTACAGCACTCAATGTAACCACTTATAAGCAAGTATCTTTCAATAATTGAAATAAAACCAGAGAGATCCATTAATCTCCAACTTTGCTGTCCTACGTATTTATAAAGAAATGCTTAAATTTGTAGTGAAAGTAGAAAAAGTATGTCAGCCTATTGCAAAGCAAAAGGAGGCCGGGTTGTTTGAGCCACAGAGAGAGCCTATGGCAACAGAAAGTAAAATTACACTTCAAGAAAAGCAAAACAAAACCTGGAGTCATTCTGAGTCAGATCACAGTGGTTCAAACAGTGCTCTTCTAAATAGGAAACGGACAGCTTGTATCAGTACTGTTCATCAAGTGTGTGTTAGTCTTTAATAACTGAACTGGCTGATGGCCATTAAAAGTGACACAGCTGCTGCTGCTGCACGAGCTGAATGGCCTGCAGTTTGAAGCGCGTGCTCTGTCTGAAGACAAGTATAGAGAAGGCCAGCTGCGTTACTTGTTTAAACCTTCCATACTGAATGATACGCCAGCGCTCTACATCCCAGAAAATTCTCTCTGGTACCCCACCTCTCCTCAGGGATGTGACTCCTCTGAGTGTATATTCATTAAGAAATCTGTCAGAGCATAAACATGTCTCTTCACAATTGGAGAATTAACCTGGAAAGACTAAACCCAGTTTGAAATCTGTCTTTAACTTCAGCCCTGAACTGTTAGCTTTAATATTTAGCTGAACATTTTAAAGTCTGAATTCACATTTGCCCATTTTCACATTGCTCGCCTTCTTTTTCTGTAGAGGTGTTCTGTTTCCTCTACAGTACCCTTAGAGCATTTTATTATACTGTGTTCAAGATTTTAGACTACATGAGATTATTGTAAGTAGATGTATCACAAAATAACACTGACATTGAATATGTGGTCTCTCACAGTTCTTCATATACTGAAGCAAAGCAAAACAAGCCGCTTGTTAAACTAGAAAATCACTACATACAGTCTTGTTCCATTACAATAATACTTCTACTGATTTTTCTAAGGTGATAGGTACCTTATAGACACAAGACAGTTATAGCTAATTTTAATCCTGGTCTACCAAATGAGTGAAAACATGTTTGGGGGGAATTTATGTTTGGGGTTTGTTTTTTTTTTTTTTTAAATAAATAATGTTACTTATTTAATATTGATGCAGAAGTGTACCACTTAACTGATGCTACCGATTTGCTTCAGAATAATTTCTATTATGTATTCTATTCAGCTGAAAAACTTTTTAAAAGACCATTTATTCCACACAGACAATAGCTCTACTAGCTGCAGACGGGCTGCATTTTTTGCTTAACAACAGAAGAAAGCCAAATGCTCCAACTTGCACAGAATTCATCCAGCATGAAGTCTCATCCCAATTAAGTTAAAAGCATACCAGAGCACTGCAGTTGCTAACAGCAATTTAGCACTACTGCCATAGAACATACATTCAATGACACTATTTCAAAAACCTTTCCAAGGTAGAGAAGTTGTGTAAAAATCCTCCTGAAAAGAGGATTATTTAGAGACCTGTACTAAAAAAGCACAGAACAACAGCAAACATACTTACATTGAAGCATGTTTCCATATTATAGAGGTCAGTGACATATTTTATTTTTAAAGCTTGTATTTTTAAATCAAATACAGTTATGCTCTTAACAGTAAGACAGCAAACCCGCCCCTTACATTCTAACCTCACAATTTCCTCTTCTGCCTTCCCCTAAAGCTCCCTAGCAGCTTACTCATGAGCAGTACCCAATACCCCCAGATTGCCCAAATATAAATAGCATTTTCAATGTTTTTATGTAGGTGGAACAGCTCCAAGAAATAACTCACAGTCTTATAGATGGTGATACAAGTACTAGCCCCACTTCTGACATATTGTTGCTGCCGTCTCACTGGCTCAGCCCTCGTCCCAAAAACCCCTCCTCTCCTCCCCAGGCCTCCTTTAGTCCCTAGAAAGGACTGTAAGCAATAAATAACAATGCAGCCAAAGAAACTCTGTGCTTCAGGTGGTATTTGCAACGTTCTCATTAAATTAAAGAGCCCACAAGCACATGGATGATCATCGCAGGCGTACCGCTTGGAGGCGTTTATCACCACCTTACCGTCCCTAACGGTGGGCACGGCTATAAGAGCAAGAGCATCTTCACTACTCAGTAGGTGAAGTGATATCCAAAACTACCCCTTTAAGCAAATACCACGCTTTCGAATCAGTTACGACTGCAGGCCATCCTTACGCCTTTGATCCTTTCACAGATACACTCTGGCCAGAAATGCAATCAGCCAAGGGGAGAATTGCTTCAGATCTGTCCAGAGCTGCTCTGCCACTGAGTCTGCTTAGCACTACAGCAGCTTCTAGTGGGATTCTGATTTCTGTCTTAGCCATCCTAATTATTAGAGCCTCTGCAACAAATTTTATATGGGAATATATTAATTATGTCAATATTCTATAGAAGTAACCACACAATCCAGATGTTGCTTCCAGAGGAACACCAGAATACTTTATACACCGTGATAGCTTTTGTGCACTTGTTACACGCCGTAAGAGAACGTTATCTTTCGATGTAGTGTGATACAGGTAGGGAAACAGTGACCCAGGTAAAGGCCCACGTAAGGTGATTTTTCTCTCTTTATTCTTACTGGTGAGTTCTACGGTGTGCCATACAGCGAGGTCTCTCAGCACATGTGCTGGAAAGGTCTCTTCAGCCTTCAGCAGTTTCCCTGATACATCCCCTATTTCTCATACAGATCACAGTTATCTCAAAACTTAATTGTGGACTTGCTGCTGCTTAGTGTGCAGGCTGAGGTTAAGGCTGTTTCTGTAGGCCTGCTCAACTCAGAAGACTACTATGCCCTCTGAAATGACCAGCTGATACTCGCTTAGGGTGCTCTCATGTAGTATTAATGTACTACACTTTGGTAACAAATAACGTGCACAAAAAAAAGAGTTCTTAAGGCAACATAGAAAACATCTAATTTTACCCAAAGGACCAAAACAAACTTTGAACTCCTATGAGAAAATCCTAACAGTATTGGTATCTAAACATTCCCATTAAAAATATTTGTATATGTCAAAATGTAGATAGTGCTGGAGAAAAACTAGTAACATTTGTTGACATTCTTAACATAGTGTCATATTTTATCTCATAACAACAAGAAATCATCAGAAATGCCTTGTTAAATACGTATTTGCTACAGTAGCTATTAGATACACACACTGAAAAAGGTTTTCCGCATTTCATTTTGGTATTTGAAACAGACCTGACTGCTGTCATTCACACAATTTTCTGTTCTGAGCATCTGTGAGCCTGTTGCTGCAACTTTGTAAGAAGGGAAGGATGTTTAGTGAGGCGGGGCTCTGCAGAACTAGGCAGACTAGTTTCTAGCCTTCATATTTTAGAAAGCGAGTTATCAACAGAAACAGATTTAGTTACAGCCACAGCAATATATACCAATGCTAAAGCAATGTGTAACACCGTGGCTTTTTAAAGAGAGTGAGTCTCAGTGCTAACCTGACTGGGAACAAGATTTCATGCCAGTCCTGACAGCGTTCAGCGAAGTATGTCTTTAGCTGAATAGAAGAAATCAGGAGTACAATGGCTTGTGTATTTCTGTTTGACTCTCCCAGAATCTTCTTCGCATTATGATTTTATATTTGCCAACACTTAATAACAAAAAATTGTAAAAACTTAGATGCAGAGAAAGTGGATTCTAGATTCATATTCCCTTAGGTTGACAATTCAGGATTGATACATATAAAAAAATTTAATATGTGACTGACTTCAAAGGTGAGTTGTTAGGACTAAACTGGTGAATTAGTCCAACCTTATAATAAAAACTGGAATATATGCCAAGCGATAGAGCAGGGGGTCACCTCTAAGTGGAATTAGCATCTAAAGAAGTCAGCAGAGGTGTACCCCTCACAAAAGCAAATCAGGTAGTATCGCATGATCATGTCTACACATCTTTTTGCAACTGCTACACAAAGATGTTTGCAAGACCCAAATCAATAGCTTCACTGAGAGCACTAAACCACTCAAAACCGCCTCAGAGTTAAGAACCCTGAACCCTTCCAAGTTATTCTTGAATTTACTGTCCTAGACAGCTGACTTGAATTTTTACAGTATGCAATTCAGATTGTAGGAGGCTTTTAAATAGAGATGATTTACAATAGTGAAATCTATTCAAATCAGAGCGTTTTGGTTCACTTACAACCATTACTTGTAAAAAATAATTTTTGGCACATAACAGAATTTTTTCAAGGTCATTTGCGCACAGAGGTTGATGATGGAGAAGAACTTTTCCCCCTTAATTTCCACTCCAGCCGTACTCACACTCAGTCATCCCAACACTTGTGAGAATTGTGCTTGGAAGAGCAAAGGCTGCCCAGGCCAATGGCAATTACAATCATGTGAACCATTTCCAAGAGCTAGTTTCTGACACAACTCTCTAATATTTCAAATAACGACTAATAACGAAAAGGTGTAAGTTAAAATAGCTAGAATCCTACAAACACTCTCCCATCTTCGATAAGAATCAGAGGTACAATGAACCTTTAGAGCATAATTCTTTAATGTAGTTTCTTGTGGAGTCTGAGAGGTAAATCACTCAGATGTGTATCTGTATTTCAAGACAAAAGTTAGACCGTATCGAGCTGTATTACAGTCTTGATTTCAATTACCGAGCACTATCCATATACTGATGTAAAATGTTTCTGTTTTATAGAAATCTGATTCCTGCTCCAAACTGAACACCATCGCATATCCTGAAAAGAAACAAATAATAAATCACATGATATATATGGTACTGGTGAAATCAAAATCCATTCTCCCTATCCCCAAATTCCCAAGGTTTTCAATCTATGGAAAGTTCCAATTCAAATTTTAGCTGACAAAGGCTCTTTTAAACAAACGCTTTGCCAATCTGTCATCCTTATTTACATCTGTAAAATATTTACATTTGCAAAATAAGGCCCATAATTTCAAACTGCTATTATTCATTCACATTTCGCATGAATGACAAGTAGAAACACAATTCAACTCCTGTACGAAATAGAGGATCTCACACAGTATTCACAGGCAAGAACAGATCCCCTGAAGCTTTTTTACTGTGTACTATAATAGTTGCTTGATGTAGGGTAATTGGTTGCTAACACATTAATTTGTTCCCCCTTTATAGCTAAACTTGTTTTCATTTTTCAAGCAAAGACATTAAACTCTGTATTTATCCAATCATTTGTTTTTGGAAGGCTTAAGAAAATCCCATGAGCTGTCTGAGTGATCATTTCCCCTAAGAAATAAAACCTGATACACGGCTATTCATACATTTCAACAGCTGATCTCAAGTTCAGTGAACTTTGAAACTTGAGAAAAAGAGCCTTAAACCAAGAAGTACTGTGAAACCAACATGAATAGAGTGAGCTGAAAGAAGAGCATCAAGTGCTGAAAAATCTCTAAATTGGCACAGAACAAACAAAATGAAACGACAGCAATTCTCTCTGACAATGCCAGATAGAAGTGCAGTAAGCTTTAAAACCAGTTACTACTAAAGAAATTGGTGTAAAACCCACACCTGTCACCAGACTGTACTCCCATGGGGAAACAGTAGTTAAGTTCTAATCTAGCAATGTTTCCAAGTCGGAGCACTATTCCAGCACCGTAAGACCATCGGATATACTCTGCCAGCTTCTGCAGATGAGCTCTGGGACCATCACCTGAAAGCAAAAGAGCAGAAGAACCACCAAAGTAGACTGTCGAGGTGGTCAAAGGCTAATTTTCAAAGCTAGAAGACAGATTACTTAGGAGCAACTCCTGCAGATTCAAAATTTATTTACTACCCGCAGCTCCTGCAGATTCACAATTTATTTACTACCTGCAGCTCCCATAAATGCCAAGTAGTACCTTGGACTCAAACTGGCATGATTTTAGTTGGATTGCTGGTTGATCTTCATTTCCCACCACAGGGTACCTACTTGCATGAACCTGGAAATGAGTACTAAAGACTTAAATAGTGGGTGTCTATTAAAGTTGATTAATCTGCTTTTCAATTGTGCATGAAGTGTCTCCCTCCCATAATGGATGTCGCCTCTGTTCCATCAAGTGAGACAGACAGCAAAGAGATATATTCCAAAAGTGACTGAAAAGTCATACACTACTACACTGAAATCTATCTTAAAAAAAGTTGGGGATGTCAAAAAAAAGTCACATCAGCCACCACGCCCTCATCCACATTCTAACGCCACTGCTTTTTATTTAGTTCATCCCCATAAACATTAGAATCCCACTAAAACATCAACTTCCAAACTCCCTTCAGAACGGTGTAAGACAGCAGGTATTACTCAATTACCACACTGGTCTGCGAACATCACCAGTCCACAGATACTACTGTTACCACCCGAGCTCTCTTGCCTACAAGTTGTGCTAGAATTTATAGGGAGCGCTAAAAATGTACTGGCAATCTGTCAACTACAAAAGTCAACGGCAGCAGCTTTTTGACAGGCACCAAAATATACACAGTAAACAAACTGCTTCTGGGTAAACAGACACAGAACTGCTCTCCTCTTCCTTTTTGCTTTTATATATAGAGAGAGAGAAGTAGGTTTTGTTATGTGCAATTCTATTGAGCCTTACCATAGTTCAGATTGCAGAGGTTTCCAGCATTAAGGAAGAAATGTGTTCGGAAAAGGTCTCCAAACCCTCCCCGGCCTGGCCGGAAAGGGAGAGGGGTGTACAGATGCAGGCCTCCAGCCCAGTAGGCATCTCCTCCCAAGTAATCACCTATTTAAGTAAAATGTTGGAATAAAAGCATTTACTATGGAATATATTAAAAGAACCAGTACAAGAACACATCCTTAAGTTGTTGTACGTTGCACTTCGACCCTTTACAGCTCTTGCCATTTGCTTCTAGCTCTCTCCAACCTCACCACTACCTAGTAAAAAATCAGCACGTCCACAACGTTTAAACCTTCCAAGTGAAGGGCCCTTTTTCTTCATTCCCTCACCAGAACAGCCTGAGGCATGCACCTACTTGTGGTTCATCAGAGACTGCCTCCTGAACACCTCTGAAATACCTGCCTTGGTGATAAAAAGGGAAATTGATATAACTAAGCAAGTAGCTTTAAAATATCCTGAATCCACTGGTAACAGCAAGTCAGCAGCAGAGTAAGGAACAGAACTGAGGAAGCTCCTGGCTCTCCAAACACCTCTGTTGATCAGATCACCTTTCCCCTAAGCTAACTGATCATATGCTGTATCAAACAAGTGTGACTGTTGCTATAGCCATCTTTTGGGAACTTTTTCAGCTTGAGGGCTGCTTACTAATTAACGTGACATACTGGAAGCATACACGTCTGACCACACAGACAGGTTTACAAAATCAGTTTATGGCTTTAACTAAGAACGACCAGGCTTTATTCTGTTGTGAACTAATAACGACAGACCAAAGACAGAACGCTTCTCAGAGTCAAAGTGAGTGCAACGATTTTTAAGCTACACAAAGCTTAAGGACAGAATCTGATTCTTAGTTACACACTGAATATTTACAGAGGAGTGGGATTGAAAAGTTTCAGACCTTCACTCTGGGGTCCAATGCTGTACATACTGAATCCACGCACACTTGTTGGTCCACCAAGGTAAAACCTAGTGAATACAGGCAAATTTAATCTAATGCTTCAAAAGGACGTATTTGAAAACATCGAGCCATACTTCTAACATTGCTCCTCAGAGTTACAGGTAACTTCGTAATTGGTTGAGTAAAGTGTACTTAAAGAAACACAAGAAATTATATCTAAATATGATATTATATCTAAATTCTCTATTATAGGATTATACCTACTCTATATTAAATATATAAT